CCCCCTTGACTGACTCTCCCTCAAACCTCCCCTCTCCCAGACCAGATCCTAATTAGGTACAGGATGCACAGGAGACAGTGTCTACAACTGAACATCATCTGCCTATTAGAGTGCAACTCATTAAATCTCTTTACTGTCCCAGACATACAAAACATATATAGCCCTAATATTGATATGCCTGATAGTGAGAGGAGTAAATAGAATTTTTTAGGTTTTGTTGTAAGAGATGGACACGGCCAAGTTATTATTCTGAATTCACACTACCATTTCTCTCCTGGCTACCTATTTTTTACCCATTACTTGGTCAGAACAGACATGAATAGCTCTGTCATTGAGCATCTCAAAGTAGATCTTTCTTCTTTAAAGGACAGTTTTATTTAATCTTTGAAATTAAAATCATAAGTCACATTATTTTTAATACTATTTACATAGTCACGTAATTAGTAATACTTCCTATCTTTCAGTGTAGTTCCTGTGCAGATTACTGATCTGCAAAGAAAAGATTCTCAAAGAGATCATCATATTAGGCATCCTCAACTGAAGTTCAAACCAGTTTAATTTTGAGGAAGCACCAACAACCAAGGCTTTACCAGGTTCATTCACTAGTAAGGCCTTCCCTAAGATGTCCTGCCTGGGGAGAAAATCAGTATTGTTTCTTTAGAGAAGGTGTTGCTGAGTGTGGTAGTTCAGCCTCTGGGATGTATGGCAGGATGGTCCAGAGGGTTTGCATAAGTTTTCTTTGCATTGTTTCTAAAATGTTGACCAAGTCCAAAATCAGTGTTTCAATTAATGAATTTCACTTTTTTTTTCCTTTTGTAGGGGAAGAAGAACCTCCTGTAATCACTGCTACAAAGTTCTTAGTGCCTGGAATATGTAAGGCAGAACTTCATTGCCACATCCATACTGATGAACTGCAGGCAATTGCTCCTTTATAATCCATTACAACGTTGTTATGCATTGCCACTTTATCAACAGCCTCTGTTTGTGATTTAACTACCACACTGTCTCAGCACTAAACCTACTTGAAGGAAGAGATAGTCCCTGAAGAAGATCTGTTATTCCATTTTTTGTGGCCAGTAAACTTTAATCTGTTGGTCTTTTTATAACAAGTCTTTCATGATTTGAAAAATGCAGCATGGAAAAATAGAAGAGAATACATTTCAGAATTATTCCTATTATAATTTAAGTGTCATGATATTACACTGTTTACAGATGCCATAATCATACTGTTTTTTGCTAGAAATAATTTTGCAACTGGACATAAAATAGCTTGGAACATTAAGTCTTAGTAAATTTTGTAGTCCAGCCTCTAGTTTTAAGTGCTGATGTACTTGGTGGCAGGAGTGTTGTAGTGAATGAAAGCAGGATTTTTTTTCAGAAGTAAGATAAAATGCCAAAGGTGAGATCAAGAAATTCTCCATAGGAAGAAATTTTCTTTTAGAAATGTTTGAGCTCCTTTCCTCAGTCTCCTCTTTCTCCCAGATGTTAATGTGTCTCAGTATTTAATTTCAGATGAGTGCATGTCTCCCTATTCTGCATTAAGCTCCTGTCTCCCCTTCCCAGTCTGGCTGTGATGACTCACAAATAGCACCATTCTGAGGCTGAAGTATCATTTTTATGATAGGCAAAAATATAGGTCCTCCATATGCTGAGTGGTACCATGGAAACAAAGTTTTCTATTTTCTTCCTGGAAAGGCTAATGGAAAGAATACTTTGAAGAGCAGATTTTATATTGAAGATATCATTCTGGATTTGTTCAGCCATGAGATGAGGATGCTTTATGGGGGGGTTCATTTTATCCTTCAAGGACATGATGCTGCAAAATCACCTGGGATAAAACAAGCCAAGACAAGCAGTTAACAGGCAGAAATACTTTGTTTTGAGCCAGCCAGTAAACAGAAGCCTGTGAGTTACTTTGCAGTTCACAATACTTATCATTACTTAGTAATTAAGATAGTAAAGTGTTAATGTGTTATATTAAGAAAAAAAGCAAAAACTACAACGGACATGTTTATTTACAGGCACAGAGCAGGCATGTTCTGTTTTCTGCAGTGACCAGGTGGGTGTATCTTCATCCAAAATGTCCCTCCTGTTTCCAAAGAGCAACTTTTCCTAAGTAAAACACACCTATGTAACTGTAGTTCTAGGCACTATTATAATAAGCATGATAACAGGAAAGGACACCTCACCAATGTGCCTTTGCTAGTTTTGCTCATGGAGGCAGATTCTGTCTCATTTAACCCATATTCACTTTCCACTAGCAGGAGGCTACTTTAGGGAGAACTAAGGGAGAACTCCAATACCTCAAATATTCTCTCAGTTTTGATAGAAGAGAATTAGACATTGCTAACTGTTACATTGTATTATCCATTTTAATAGCGTGAGCTAGAACTATTAAACAAGTGATGATTTTGGCTGAGTAGCTTTAAAGCTTCTGGGTTGTTTTCATGGGTCTTTGTTTTGGTTTGGTTGGGGTTTTTTTGCATCAGTTTATATTTAATCATTTGAATTTCCAAATAAAAGCCTCTTGAGATTGTTGTCACAGGTGGAGTAAGAAAGTGCTGTAACAATTATTTGAACATAACCATCAATGTCAGAACTCGGACATGCTTTGCAATTGTAATATGGAATTCTGTGATCAATTAGATGTATGTGTTGGATCTGGAGGGCTTTGTCCATTAATGTCATGTTCCTTACTCCTCCTGCTTTCCGAATGTCAAAGAACACTAACTGGAATACCTCAAAACTTGCAATATCTAAGTAAGTCTAGGTAGCTTTATGTACACAGTGAACCATCTGCACCTTCAATGATTTTTTTAATGCTGTGCCTTGGGCTGTATCTGTGTTTTCCCGTTCTTTGAAGCTGAAAAATTCCTGGGTCAAACCAGGCAGAATCATTTAGAGGTAAATGCTCCTCCACTAAATCCAGCTATGAAGGATCTTGATTGGGTGCAATTCTTGTTGTTTTAGTAGAGAGAGAGAGTTTGGACTGGTAAGCCACGGGCAGAAAGGTAACAGTTCATGTGCTGAAGATCTGCTGTGCATTGAAACGCCAAAGCTGCAATTTCTTTGTTAGCTGGTGAAGGTAATGCTGCTTTCAGCCGTGGGAAGTCCCAGCTCACCTAGTGTTATTTTATGCTAAACTAAAGATTGGGAAGATTTCCATGTTCCATTAAATTCAGTAGCAGAATTGGTATTATGAAATGAAATTAAGTTTTCATTTTGAGCTCTAAGAAAGCTGAGTTTTGAAAAGGGGCGAAGGCAGTTGCACAAAGAATAACTTGTCATTAATGTTTTTATTTTTATTTTTTCAGAATTTGATGTACAATCCTGCAAATCTCATTTGTTAATTATAAAAGGTCTATGCAGATGAAAGTCAAATGTGTTAGAGAAGGGGGGCCAGAAAAATTTCTTAATTCCTTCTTAGCTTAAAGTGGAAATGGTATATTGTATGTACTAAGAAGAAATAATTAATTGAAAATATAGATTAGGACAGCCCACACTTAAAATGTACAAAAGTGAGAGAGTAATACTTAATCTGATTTAGTATAGTTTTTTTACAAAGCCGCAGTTCTTAAAACAATTAGAAAAATATTTTGTATATTGAGATACTGGAAGGACATAGTACTGAATTGTCAAGAATTCTTTATTTTTCCTGTAATGAGAATAACAGCAAAAATCCTTGTAAAAGTTACTTTTAAAAAACCAAATATGTTAACACACATATTAAAGGTTAGCTTACTAGTATTTTCAAGCATTAGTAAACTCTAAACAGAATGTTTGTAGGGAAGGGATCCCCTTAATTTGTAAACGGAACTGTGTGGACGTTGTTTGGATGTTTTATAATGTATTTTCTGGGAGGATGGAAAAACCATTGGAAAACTGAGGGCTCAAGATATGATGGTGTGTTCAGCATTTCGAATGATGAGTATTGTTGTTGCCATGATTTGTACCTGTAGATGAACACATCAACTGTTGAAAATAGGATGCAGCTGACCTTTGCAGAAATAAATTTTTTATTATACTATAATTTAGAAGCTAAATATAAAAATAAAATATTTTTTGTTCAGTTTCATCCCTTGGACTTTTCTTAATAGTATAAGAAGAAATGGCTTAGAGGTGCAGTAGTTTTGTTCTAGACACTTTGAGTGCAGTTACACACAGCACACAACCAACCAGACTTGCTAACTGCTGCTCATGCCCTACAGCTGGAAGGGAAACAGCTATTTTGGGGGGTGTTTATTATAACTAAGCAAGTGTAAAAACCTTTCTAAAACTTGTGTATTGGACAGACTGGATCTGATTTGATTTTATTTTTTAATAAAACTGCCTTAATGTGATTTTATGTAATTATTTTTCCTATGTCCTCTTAGAGTTCATTTCCAACCTCAACAATTCTGTGATTCTAAGCGCGTGAGTAGTGTTAGTAATTCAAAGGAGAATTTGATAAGTTATTTCTCTGTGTCTGAACTGGACTTCTTTGAGATGCATTCTCCATATGTATATTCTGCAGTCCTAATCTGTGTATCCTCTGCCTTGGAGCCCAGTACATGAGCTCTGAGAGCTGTTGGCCAAAATTCTTACACCTTGAGGATGGGGAAAGATATGCTTTGAAATGAGGATGTGCATATGGATAATACATCTCAAAAGAGTTTAGGAAGGAAGCTCTCCTTTTGCTTTTTTTAATTTGGCATTTAAATATTATGGTGACGTGATACTGAAATGATACACCCCCTAAATAAGAAAAAAAACCCACAAACCAAACAACAACCAACACTTTGAGTTATAGTGAAAAATGTGTACTGCACACAATATCTGCATTCAAACTGTAACTGGTCAGCCCCAGATTATTTCTAAAATGTCTGAAGTTAAAGGTTGTACTATAGATCACCTGAAGGAACTTTTCACTCTGTCTGCTATAAATTATTTTACTTTTCTTGTTGTCATCTGTTGCTGCTTCTCACTCACAAAAACCAGAACAGTGACCAATTTATATATTTTATTACAAGATACAGTTTTGTTCTTTACTCTCTTAGAACTAATTTAATAAAGTGTGATTTACCTCAGATGTTATGGGCAGCTGCACTGTGGACAGTGTTTTAAAATTTGTAGCAGTCTGTGGAAAAAGGGGAAATTGGTCATATTGTCCTGTTCATAAAGAGCAGAGGAAAAGGAAATGTTCTTTCCTCGCTGTCAGATGTCACCTGGATGACAAGGAATGGGTGCTTGCCCAAACCTACCTCAGTGCTAAAAGCTCAGGTAGTGATTTTTGTGTTGTACTTGGACACAGGTACTGTGGGAGGTTGGAAGTTTGAAAACATGAAGATATTAAAGATGTTGGGGAGCAGGGGAATTTTAGTTATATGTAGCTAGATATAATAACTTATAATAGATGTAATAGTTGTGATAGTAAAAATCCATGCAAGAAGAAATCAATATCTGGAGAATTTTCTTCATTACTTAATAAAAGGACTTAATTTTAAATGTACAGGGAGCTGTAAAAATCAAACTTTCTTCTAGACTCTCCTGGGAGGGTCACAGGCCCTGACAATACATGGAAGATTGAACTAGTGTGAGTGAGTATATGGAATGCTGTCCTATGGGCTGCTGATTTAGTTGGAATTCTAACTATTTAGTTGCTACTGGTGTGCAAAAAGATCTACTTGAAGAGAGGCTTGTTGATTATACGAGTCAGGTAAGTTTATTTCAGAATAGCCCATCAATTTGGTGTTTTGTGTCCACAAGGGAAGTTGTGCATCTGTGGTTTCACAATTCTGAACTGTAACACATCTGCTCCCTGAGCAAATTCTCTATTAACCCTTTGACTGTAAATCAACATCAAATTTTTCACAAAACTTGCTCTGAATTTCTATAATAGCCAACCAGGTTTATGATGAGATTTTACTCAACCAGAAATACTTGGCTATTTATAATCATAATCTAATTTTGCTAGGGAACACAGCATTTCTTACTAATACACATGGAACCTGAGATTACACAAAGGGCCTGGGAGACTGTTATAGTGGGTTTTTTCTATATCAGAGTAAATAAACCTTTGGAGGCTTCACTCTGCCCTTTATTGGAATCTTGACTATTCCCAACTACAAACCAACTGTAAACTTCATAACTTTTGACAGTACAGTAAAAATACAGATCAAAACTAAAAGTGGAAGTCACCTTTTTCATGGCTGAGAAATTTTTATTTCTAGCCCAGTTACAGAGGATTAAACTTGTCAAAAGATTGGATGCCTTGCATAGCAAAAGGGAGAATGAAACACTTGGGGAACAGACTTGTTTTATTTATTTTTTACATAATTACTAAACTGTGCTTTAAAGAAAAAAAAGTTCCCAGAAGGATTTTACATCAAGAAAACTAGTGCCAGGAGTATTTTCAGGGCAGGTAGCTACTACCTGATAAAAATAACCTATAGTGCAAGTTGTGGAACTATAACCATGATTTAAAAGTTCTTTTTGGCAACATTTTCTAAGCCTTTTCAGAACGCTGTGGCCACACCCTTTTTAGTAATGCTTTATTTCTCAGGTGATTCAACCAATGTCAGTGGGTCTGGTTATGAAATCAGATACTAATAATGGGAGTGGGACATACATCAGAGCAGTTGTTTGGTGCGTCACAAGTCAGAATTTTTTTTCTCACAAGTGCACAACAGGTCATATAAAGGCCATAAGCAAGTGTTTTTGTCTTAGTGTTGCATGAGAAATGGGAAGGAACTAGATAAGAAATAGGAAATGGATCCACTTCAGAACAGAGATGGGGCTGGTGGGAGCTGAAGACTGAACACAGGGTTTCACGTCTTGAGCCATAATGGTGCTTCTTTCAGCAGCCAGTCAAGGGATTTGGTTAGAGACATTATTATTGCAGCTTTTGCCATTTTGCAATAACTTGTGTGGCAGAACAGCAGGACACTGACTGATGTCCCAGAGTTCTGTGGCACCACTGCAGCAAGTCATCCACTGATGGAGCTGG